CTAACAGTCTTCACTCTTCATTCCAATTTTGAATTTAGAATTAACATTAAAGAATTGCAAAACTTTTGACAGGCTACTTTTAATTTCAAATTTAGAATTGAATATAATATAAAATATGATTGCCGCCAATTTTAAATTCCATTTTCAAAATTCGAACAAAGAAACCACAATACGTCACGGCTCATTGCCGAAAATTCATCATGACATTATCCATCAGCCCCCACGCGTCACTTACTGAAAACTTATCGAAAACCTGTAGCTCTACATTCCTATACAAATAAAAGTCAACCTTAATGCCATACAATAAGATCTACATTCGTATATCTTCAAATTATATGAGGATATATCTCATGCATTATTTGAATTTCGACCTTCCTCCGTTGATATAAGGTCGTAATCTTTTTGCTGGCGTTATCAGGCTTCTGATAAGGGTCGACCAGGCGAAAGGCCTCCCTCATCCCCCGCGGTCCGTGTAGGTTTGTTGTATAAAGGGGATGGATTGATATATAGCGTAGCTCTTTGTCTGTGGTCTGCATTCCAAGCTATATTTTGAGTGTGAGGCAACGGTTAGTCCGTCTTTAGACGCGGCGCTGAGCGGACGTCCCTTTACTCGTGATGTATTCTGAGTATATTTAGGGTGAGTATTTTAATATTTAATTAATAATTCTAACTCTAGATTACTGATACTTCGGTATAGTATCGTAAATTTAATTTAATATTTTATTTAGGAAGAACCAAATAATATTAGAATTATTTTGATACGTCTTAAGATCAGCCATTTTAATAATAAATTTAAACTCAAATATTTATCGAATTTTAATATTAATTGAAAAAGAAAGCCCAAACACAAAAGGACGTAAGCGACATGACGTTTTTTGTTTCAACGATGATTTCAAATTTTGCGGCAATAATTGTTTATTGCGAATTTTTATCAATTGGTGACGGTGGAGTAGTTTTCGAGTATACATACTCAAAAATTAACTTAAATGTATTAAAAAAATCTTCTTAAGAAACTTTAATTAAATGTTAAAGAAGAAATTAGGAAATTGTAAATGAAAAACATTAAACAATTTTTCAAAAAATATAATGAAAAAGTGATATACAAATTCCAAATAAATTTTTGCAGCCCCATTAACAATAGGCGTTGCGGTCGTAGGTCTGAACTCCAGTTGTAGCAATTGACTTTCAATGTGCGCATTTAACATTGGTGAAGGAAGACATTCCGGAGACCCAAGCGCGTGTCAGGCACAGGTGTCATGTACTTGTGAATCTGAGGCTTTAAAAGGTTGTAGCGAACTTTATTTAAGTTCTAAAACAACGTGTATGCAAATTATACAATAAAATATGACATCGCAAATTTGACATACATCGATGATATTTGAACATAAGCTGGTATTAGGGAAAAGATTAAACAAGCGACCAAAAAATAAAAATAAAGTGCGTGCGTACAAAGTACACATGTCAGAAGTGAAACTTCTTTGGCAAACCAATTTTTAAGTCTTGTTCATATTTATACAAATCTAAAACTTTAGATTTCCGAGACTTAGAGGAAGGGAAAAAGGAAGATATGTCAGGAATTTAATGAATTTAATTGTCTTTAAAATATTAAGTGTCGAAAATTAATACAAATTATATTTTTTTTTTATAGTGACACGTGGCATTTTAATTTGTCATTTGAGATTTCCCTAAATTATTTTGCGTAAAATATAAAATACTAATATTTAATAAATTCTCTTTACGAAATTTTAAAATTAAAATTTCGATAAGACAATTCGCCCTTCTTTCTCTCAATCGTCCTTCGACAAAAACGCTGCACATCTTCGTGACGCTACTATTATAATTATTGCGTATCATCCGTAAAAAGTTTACCCTCATGCGCCTAAAGAAGTGTAACATAAAAAAACATGTTTTAATTTCGAAAGAAAGGATTCCCTGGATCGTGGTCAGCTATCTTCCATTTGACATATTAATTATTTTAGGTACTTGACCTAATCATTTCTACTACATAGGACTTAAATTTATTTAGTCTTCGCCCCTTTGAGAGGAAGAGAGAAATGAAAAACTTTAGAGGTGTCAAGGGACACCCGGATGGAACGAAATTCCTTTCGATTAATTTATATGTTAATTTGTATCATAACAGTATGATTTTCTCGACACCAATCTTACGACGAAAAAAAAAAGCCAACATCACGAGGTGTTCCCAGGCGGTCACCCATCCAAGTACTGACCTCGCCCGACGTTGCTTAACTTCGGTGATCGGACGATAACCGGTGTATTACAATAGCAAATAGCAAAAAAGTGTCGTGACAACTTTTCGTAAGAATTTTTTCCGTCTAGCCCCCTTTCACAACGCGCGATAGGGAACTTCGTTCCAATAAATACAAAAATTTTGTTTCTAACTTCTCTTTGTTAGAGTTTTAGTAGGTAGGTCTATATATCTCACACGTATAGCTATTTTTCGCTTAAACTAACTGGCAATTTTATTGTACATACAAAAATGCAAAGAGCAGTGTTGGCCTAGTGGCTTCCGCGTGTGACTCTCATGAGGCCGTAGGTTCGATCTGTGCACCAATGGAATTTCCTTCTATGTGCGCATTTAACATTCGCTCGAACGGTGTAGGAAAACATCGTGAGGAAACCGACATGTCTTAAACCCAAAAAGTCGACGCCGTGTGTCAGGCACTAGAGGCTGATCACCTACTTGCCTATTAGATTTAAAAATGATCATGAAACAGATTCAGAAATCTGAGGCCAAAACCTAAAGAGGTTGTAGCGCCTCTGATTTATTTAATAAATGATTTCACCTTAATAAAGCTTTTATTCCCACTTCGACCGTCCTATCAACGTTTCAATGTCTTAATTTTAATAGAAATAATGAATTTAATAATTCCGTTTTTATAAAGCGAATCAAAATCTCCCAAAAAGTATTCACACAAATCTCGCTGATTAAATTTTATATACATTTTCTCAATTTCTTTTTCCATCTCAATTTGTCAGTGCTTTATTGCGATAATTAAAATAAAGGGTGCCGAGCCATTGAAATCAAAATGGCGACAGGAAACTGGCGCGCTAATGAGTCCTTTCACGAAATGGCGTCGTCTTGTCAATTGTCATTTTGAATATTTAAATGAATAGAAATCTTGAAATGTTAAATCTGTGATTTATCATTTTAGAAAATAAAACTATGCGTTCTTTAATTTCTTTGCACAAATCACAACGTTTTTATAAAAACTTTCTCGTAGTGCAGTGTTGGCCTAATGGCTTCACTATGCGACTCTCATCATGAGGTCGTAGGTTCAATCCCCGGCTGTACACCAATGGACTTTCTGTCTATGTGCGCATTTAAAATCGCTCGTACGAAGAAAAACATCGTTAGGAAACCGGTTTGCCTTAGACCCAAACAGTCGACGGCGTGTCAGGAACAGGAAGCTGATCACCTACTTGCCTATTAGATCATAAACAGATTCAGAAATCTGATGCCCAGACCTAAAAAGTTGTAGCGCTACTGATTTATTTATTTTATTTTACTAGTGGCATCCATAGAATTAGCAAACGTATTCAGTGACATGAAAATTTACATTTTTAACTTTTAACAATAAATCAGATTTGAATATTGCTCATTTCAACTTGCTTCCTCTCAAAGTGGGGAAGACTCCTTCAAGCCCTTAATTATCGTGGTGAGCTTGCCCGATAGCTTCTTTTCTTGAACCTCTGCCTTACTACAAGCTTCCTCCTTATCAGAATGCCAAATCGAAAAGTGAGTTGCAGAATCGCAAGGCTGATCCTACCCATAGGGCTCCGTCTGTTACCTTAGGTCTCTTGGTGCAGACATCCCGTACTTATTTATATATTCACTATTTATGTGTTAGGGTACGTCTGTAGGGGTTAGGGATCCGTAGGGTTGTTAGGTTCTTACGTCTCACTCTCTCATATATTTAGTTGTCTAATGTATAAAATTCTCGTATCACAATGTTCGTTCCCATACTCCTCCGAAACGGCTCGACCGTTTCTTATGAAATTGTGTATGCATATTTATGATAAGGGGTGTCCACCCAAAACACAAATTTGTATTTTTTTTAATTTAATCATTACTAGCCACCCGCCACGGCTTCGCACGGTATTTAATTGGATAAGGATTAATGCTGTATTGGTTAAAATCGCTTCGAAAATTACCCATTATTTGTCGTAAAAAGAAAATGACAAAGAAAAATTATTGTGGGATATCCATAAGAGATAGACATATACCATCACGGAGTTTTCTGTAGATCTTTTCAATGTGTGCAATACTTAGTACATTATTTTGATAAATCTCGTAGGGTTCAGCCTGCGTTTGCAATGCAAGCGAAAAAAATGTAATTATTTACGACATCACATTAGAATCCTCAAAAATAACAGTATTTCTCCATTATTTAATGGATGTTAGTATACATACAAACCTTCCTCTTTAATCACTATCTATTAAAGAAAACCGCATCAAAATCCGTTGCGTAGTTTTAAAGATTTAATCATACATAGGGATATAGGGACAGAGAAAGCGACTTTGTTTTATACTACGAGTATGTAGTAATGTGTCATTAAAAATACATGCAACACTAAATTTTCACCCCTCTACGATCAACCCCTATTTTTAATTTTAATTAAAAACTTATGACTTGAATTCTGAGGTTTATTTAGAGAAAAAATCACAGAAAAACCTAAAAAGTTTTCATTCCTGATAACCGAACAGTCTCTTCGGTAGCATAGCAAAATGTTCCATGTTGGTATGTACTTAAAAGTTAGGCATTAAGGAGAAACGAAGTTCGCGGGGGCAGCTAGTATACATATATTATACTCCTGACATTTCTTACATATAAATTTGACGATTTGTACGGAGGGAAAAAGGTAATAAATACAACGCTGGACCCGTTTCTTTGAGTAGACGCGACGCTGATGATGACGGTCGAGATGGTTTCAGCAAGCAACGTAAAAATTAATTGCAATTTAAATCTTTTTTGCAGACCATGGGCGCCGCATCAGACGGCTTAGGTATGGGGTGGCGCGCGCGCATCGCCGCCATGCGGGAGTCCCGCAAACTGGTGTTGGTGATTGTCGCCATAGCTCTGCTCCTCGATAATATGCTTCTCACCACTGTTGGTAAGTTTTTAATTAAAAAAGGGTGCGTGTACTTATGTACGCGCGTAAGAAGTTATACTTCTTTGGCATTATAAAAATAGGTTTTGATTGCATGCAAATAATTAATTACAATTAAATAATCAAAGACTGGAAAAGGAGTCATTATAGTCAATAAAGTTCAGTTTACATTTGAAAAATTAAATAAATAAATATTTATTATTAATCTCTTACATTAAGTGTAACATAAATTCTATTATTATTCGCATGTTGTTTTTAAATTATGTCCAATGCTGTAGCATGTTCCGTGGGCAACTTCATTCTGTTAATTTTGTGTCACGGTTCGCGCGCATCGTAAAATTTCACTCTCATCAATTTTTCATAACGCGCCTAAAGAAGTATAACTTCAAAAAATATTTTAGGTACATCAAAACGTCTGGAACTATCCAGATTTTGATGAAACTTACTTTCCTAGTATCTGATTAAAATCATGATTGAATCTTTTGAGTTTGAATTATTAAAAACCAAATCTATAGACTACATTAACGCGTGAAGAAGCCACAGATAAACAAAATGGCGGCCAATCGGACAAGTGCTTCATGAATTATTTATCAGTGCTTCACGATTTTTCTCCCGCCTTCTAATCAATTCCGTGTTTATAGTACAATTGTCTATTGCTAAAGTGAATATAAAACTTTTGTTGTATTTATAAAACTTAAAAAGCCTGTGTACAATGTGTACTTCGTTAAAATTCAAAATCATTTATTCATATAGGTAACACAATGTATACTTTTATACGAAATGCTTCTAATTTTACATTTACTGCCAGTTCTCAAATCAAGGGCGTAGAACGGAAGAGAAGAACTGGCAATAAACTTTGTACTAAAACTTTTATTCTTTTAACTATAGCAATTATTTTCATTTTTAACTTTTAATTTAATTTTATTTACTATACACCTTGACACAAGACTTCATTACATACACTGCTAACTTTTACTAATATTTTTTGAAGTGAAACTTCTTTATCGAGGCTGGAAAAAAATTTAGTGTAACATTTTTTCGTTACGCGTCACATTTTTCGGTTACGCGCCATGTTGCTTTTTGAAGTCAAACTTCTTTATCGGCGTTGGAATGAAACTTCTTTATCGACGTATGGGAGAAATTTTGTAGCAAATCGTCACGTTTTTCAATGATAGTAATAATTCTATTACAATTAATGAAATTCTATAATAATCTTCGTAGTAATAAGGTAAAATGAAATATTTGTATTCATGTCTATGATAATAAAAGCCTTTTGTTAAACTTTATCTAATTTAACGAATTTCTGTAAAGTTGCATATAGTAGATCATTTTTCGAAAAATAAGATCATAAAGAAGTTTCACTACTTATGTGTGTACACCTAGTACACGCACAATTTATTTTTTACTTACTATTATTACATTCCTTTTCTTTCTTTTTTTGCGACTGAAGCAAACTAGCTGGTGTGGTCTGTCATAATGACCAGCGCTGTGGAACAGTCTGCTCTTCAGCATAATGCTGAGCCAGGGCCAAATTACAACCACAGCACACACGCATTACACACTTTAAACGAACCAATGGGAAAAGGGATGTTTTTATATTTATCTTCATTTTTTTTGATTAATGTTATTTTGTATGTTTGTGTGTGAATTTTGTAAGTAATAAATATTATGTCTCTGTTTAAACTCTCCGTACGAGCCTTATTAACTCAAAATTTCATCAGCATCACCTTGATGGATTCACAAGACACTTTCATTTGCGAACTAGGGAACTGTGGAATCGACGGTGAGGTGGTCCCTAGGAGATACGACCTCTAATCTAGGTGTCTATGGGCGGCGATGCTGCCTTGGGCGTTCCGTAGGCGCGTAAATAAATGGTAGAATGCTTGGAAATACCACTGTTTATTGATGGTTATGTTATTGATTGATTTAATTTGTGTTTTGTGTTAAATGTTTTAAGAGCATGATGTGATAGGAATCTGTTAATTACTATTATTATGTAGGTTATATTATAAATACTGTATATTTGTGTGTTATGAATTAAATCGCTATATATATATATAAAACCGTGTCACAATGTTCGTTCGCATACTCCTCCGAAACGGCTCAACCGATTCTTATGACATTTTGTGTGCATATTTAGTAAGTCTGAAAATCGTCTACTATCTATATTTCAAATCCCTCAGTAATAAGGGGTGTCCACTCCAACAAGTTTTATTTACATTTTTTAGATACAATTTTTTGTTTTATTTTCTTACGATACATCATACAAAAATACTTACAATTCCTAATTTTCACCCCTCTACGATAAACCCCTATTTTTATTTGTTAATTAAAATCTTATGACTTAAACTCTGAGGTATATATAGAGAAAAATTCACAGAAGAACCAAAAAAGTTTTCAATCCAGAAAACCGAACAGTCTCCGGGGTAAAATGATCCATGTTGTTTGTAGTATTACTATAGAAATCTGTAACAGTTTAATATGAAACGCTGACTAGGTAACATGAAATAATTACGATTTTTCAAAAACGTTCACAAAGGCTCAAATAAAAATGTGTTTAAGAATTTCTCTACAAAGTTAAAAATGCTACGCCATAACTGGTTTTCAAACTAAATGTAGTTTTGCTTTGATAAGGTAAAAATGCTTTTTTCACCTTGACACTACGTGTTTGCGTTCCCACACTAATGTAAGTGCTTATCACTACGCCTTGTTTAAAAAAACTTAGAAAATCGCGCGGAAAATTAGAAAATTTAAGAATTCTCAACCACCATACAATTCAAATTTTTTAGATGTAACCTTATGGCGTTTGACATTACATTGTACCTGATAGTTTTTATTTAACTACTTTTTCCTTATTTTTACTAATTCTCTAACATAGATCTTAAGAAACTATTGTTACTAACTCACTAATCAATCAATGGACTGTATTTGTCTGATTAATAAAAATTATTATTATTATTGACAGAATGCGTGCTGCAAATATCGTCAAATTGGATGTAAGAAAAAGAATATCGTTTAAAACAAATGCTTCGATCGGAGTTATATTGATAAAATATATATAAAAACTAGCAAACTCGGCGAACTCCGTTTCGCCACCAGATGGCTTCGTTTTATGTAACATTTCATTTGGTGATCCCGCCTTTCTGTTGAAATTTTTCCTGAATTTTCTTTGCTATAAACCTCACAGAGCCCGAGCCCTTTCCAACGAATGCAAAACCGTGGAAATCGGTTCATGCGTTCTGGAGTTATAGCGTCAGGAAGGAAAACCCGACTTATTTTTATATAGTAGATAATCAATCAATTAATTTAAAAAAGGTTACATTAAAAAACTTTTAGAAAGGGACAAGACAAGACAAGTAAAAAGTAAAAGTAAAAAATCATTTAATCACATAGGTAACATAATGTACACTTATGACTTGTCAGTAAAGAAATACATATTAAATGCTTCTAATTTTACATTTACTGCCAGTTCTCAAGTCAATCAAGGGCGTAGAACGGGAGAGAAGAACTGGCAATAAACTCTCCGCCACTCTTTTTAATCGCCATTTTTTGTTTTACAAAATGTTTGTAAGGAGCTGCAACCATTACACCATGTCCCATGTGACATTTTAAGTAATTAATAATAATAACATAAATTAAAAACAAAGATTTGTCCTCTATCAGCAGGAGGCATGGTGAAATAGGAGCACGCACTTACATTCTCGTGGGAACAACACGCAAGAAGAAACTGTATAAGCTATTATGTAGATATATGAGTATAATATGTTTATATATATAATTCTGCTGAACGTGTGTATGTCACTGAACTCCTCTGAAACGGCTGGACCGATTTGAATGATTGTTTTGTATGCGTTTGGGTGACGCCCTGGATGGTTTAGATTCACAAATCAGCCCAGCAGATGGCGCTGCAGTCGGTACTATCATACTTTGTTTAATCGCTTGAAATATTAGGTCCTTACATATGAAATTGGCGTTTTGTATGGGAGGAACAAAAAGTCGAATATTTTTAAATATAATATTTAATGAATCAAAGTATGAACCATTATTTCTATGCACTTTTGCCATCTCATAGGTAGTTCATTGATCCCTTTACTAAAAAAACTAGTCGGACGAGAATCAATAAAATCTGTGAAGGCGATTTGGACTGCCCCATCAGAGTTAAATTTTTCCCTTGCAAGAAGTTGTCCAAATTTCGAAAAAAATGGTAATCTGTTGGAGCAAGGTCCGGGGAGTACGGAGGATGTCTTAGACATTCCAATCGAAGCTCTTCTAATTTGGTAGCCGTCTGTTGTGCAGTGTGTGGTCTAGCGTTGTCGTGAAGTAGCAGTGGCGTGGAGCGATTGACCAGCCTAGGTTGTTTAGCCTCTAGCTTTTCCATCATGGTTTGCAATTGCTGACAATAGACATCAGCCGTAATAGTCTGGCCAGATTTGAGAAAACTGCAATGAGCAATACCGGCACTAGTCCACCAAACGCTTACAAGTAACTTTTTTGGGGTTAATTTTCGCTTGGAGCAGGATTTGGCTGGCTGGCCAGGATCCAACCATTGCGCTGAGCGCTTCCGATTATCGTAAAGAATCCATTTTTCATCACAGGTAATGATTCGGTTTAAAATACCTTCATTATTGTGCCGGTTCAGTAATGTAACGCAGCAGTCGACGCGCGTTTGCCGGTTTGCTTCAGTCAATTCGTGAGGTACCCATCTTTCAAGCTTTTTAATCTTCCCAATTTGCTTCAAGTGAATTAAAACAGTTTTATCACTAACACCGCAGCCTGCAGCTAACGGCGGAACTCGTACTCGTAAATAATGCGATACTTTAAGTTTTCCATTTTGTAAAATGAGTGACGCAAACAGAAAAAACAGAAGAAAAAAACAAATGAATCACGGTCATCGAAGCACAAATACATGAGTAAATATCTGTACAAATTTGAATTTGGAATTCCTTTCCAAAGAGGAGAACATCGTGGTTAAATGGGCCAGTACGAAAAACGCCAATTTCATA